TGCGGTTAAACCCAGCAAAATGCATCTTCGATGTGGAGTTTGGAAAATTTCTAGGCTTCATGGTTCCCCGGAGGGGGATAAAAGTTAACCCAAAAAAGATCAAAGCAATAGTCGAGATGGAACCGCTGAAGTCGGTGAAAGACATACATAGATTAACTGGAACGGTGACAGCTCTTTGTAGATTCATATTGAAGTTAGTAGATAAGTGCCTGCCATTCTTCAAAATCATGAGGTCAACAGCCCAGAAGGATGATTCTGGCAAACAGAAGAAGTTTGAACGGAACCAAGAATGCCAAGCTGCATTTGATGAGCTGAAGTCTTATCTTAGCTCACTACCTCTGCGGACAAAGGCTATAGATGGAGAAATTCTCTATTTGTACCTTGGTATTTCAAATGAAACAATTAGTACAGTTTTGGTGAGAGAAGAAGACAAAAAGCAAAAACCAGTTTATTACACCAGCAGTGTGCTGCACAGAGCAAAACTAAGATACCCTATTGTTGAGAAAGTAGCATTAACAGTTGTCACTTCGGCTAGAAAGTTGAGGCCATATTTCCAATCACATCCAATCATCGTCCTCATAGACCAACCTCTTCAATAGATCCTTCAGAAGCCGAAGTGCTCCGAAAGATTAATTAAGTGGGCAATAGAACTGGGGAATTCGAGATAGCATTTCAACAGAGGTCTGCAATCCAAGTTCAAGCATTGGTAGATTTTATTATGGAATGCACCCCATGTCACCCAAACTCTAACCCTGAGTTAAGCAACTGGATCTTATATGTTGATGGAGCATCAAATAGCAAGGGCTCAGGAGCTGGTGCTTTCCTAGTGGGTCCAAATGGATATCAAAGTAAGCATGCTTTAAAATTTAACTTTGATGCCATTGATAAAATGGCTGAGTATGAAGCTCTGCTACTTGGTCTGCAACTAGCATTGGAGTTGAAGGTCACGACCATAAGAGTCCACAATGACTTGCAACTTGTGGTCTATCAAGTCAACTTAGTTTGCGAGGTTGTTGATCCTGTCATGGCGAAGTATGTAGCCCTAGTGTCCGAGCTAAAATGCAAGTTCCAGAACTTTTGTTTGAGTAAAATTCCCCGAACTGAGAATGAACAGGCAGATTCACTTTCTAAGTTTTCTTCTGATAGCTCCTTGAGCTCCAGATTAGTTTTTGTGAAAATTTTAGATGAACCAAGCTTCATGAAGCCAAAAATGATGGAGATCAGCACAGACCCTAATACATTGAGCTGGACAGATCCAATTGTCTCTTTTTTATGAGACGGGTCAATGCCTAAAGATAAGCAAGAAGAGATGAGGTTGAGGAAGCAAGCGTCTCAGTACACACTCGTTGATGGAGTCCTCTGTAAGAGATCTTTCTCACTCCCTCTCCTACGATACTTGAATCCTTATGAAGCTGAGTACGCTCTTCGGGAGGTACATGAAGGTGTATGTGTAAGCCACATCGGTGCTAGAACCTTGGCTCACAAAGTCCTCAGACAAAGATATTACTGGCCATATATGCATAAGGATGTTACTCACTTTGTATAGAGATGCCCGAAGTGCCAATTCTTTGCACATTTGACTCACCAACCGGCAGAATAACTCACCAACTTGGTAGCACCATGGCCATTTGCTTAGTGGGGACTTGATCTTTTGGGTCCCTTCATGAAAGGGGTTGGAGGTGTAACCCATCTGATTGTTGGTGTTGATTATTTTACGAAATGGATTGAAGCTCGGCCATTATCCAGTCTTACTTCCAGAAAGGTCGAAGACTTTATTTTCAGTTCAATCATTTGCAGATATGGAATTCTGACTTAGATCATAGCTGATAATGGTACTCAGTTTAATTGCTCTTCATTTAGAGATTTTTGCTCCAGTTACAAGATCAAACTACAGTTTACCTCAATATACCATCCGGAGTCCAATGGTATGGTAGAATTTGTTAATAAAGCTATCCTAGAAGGAATAAAGCCAAGGTTGGAGTAGCACAGGGCCAGTTGGGTAGACAAGCTCAACAACGTCCTCTGGGCATATAGAACTACGAGCCAAACTGCCACAGGTACTATTTCAAACCTAAGTTACTTTCATTCTATTTTATTTTCTCATCTATGGCTTTACCCTAGATCAAATATGCACAATATATAAAGTATATTCTAAAGAATATAATTTAATGAAATAGGTGAAACACCCTACCACCTGGCTTTTGGTACCGAAGCAGTCATTCTTATTGAAATAGGAGTCCTCAACTTCAGGGTAACCCATTTCGATGAAGGATGAAATGGACAATTACTTGAAGAAAACCTTGATTTGCTTGTCAAAGTCAGAGAACAAGCACGACTTCAAACTCTAGTATACAAGCATAAATTAGCCAACTTCTACAACAAACAAGTCCACCCTTGAACATTCAAAGTAAGAGACCTTGTTCTCAGAAAGGCTGGTCTAACAGGGTTTGAAACTCATTTTGGTAAACTGGCCTCGAACTGGGAAGGCCCTTACACAATGGTCGAAGTGCCACATCCTGACGCCTATATCCTCCAGGACGTTGAAGGGAAGCAAGTTTCTAGAGTCTGGAATATCAATAACTTGAAGAAATTTTACCTTTAATAAAGTTCTTTCAAGTGATCTTCGTCTTATTCTTCTTTATAATTATTACTTTTTCATTTCTGAGATTCATTTCATCTGTTATTTTATATATCCGAGGTCAATCTGTTTGGAATTTATTCCTTGGACTTCAATTTTATTAATGAAATTCACTTCATATCTGAAGTGATTTACTTCATCTCAGTTCATATCTGAAGTGACTTACTTCCTTCCAGCTCATATCCGAAGTGATTTACTTTATTTCAATCCTTATGTTAATAACAAACAATTAAAGCACAAAATAAATATTAAAACTAATTTCAAAAATTTTCTTTGGATTAATCAACAAATGTATGGAAATGTTTACATTCATCAATTGTTCAAATTACAACTACATAAATCAAAAAACAAAAATCCTAGCTATTCCGTCGGAGGAGGTGGTTGAGCCAGCTCCTGATCTACTGGAAGAGGTAGCTCTTCTTCATCAGAGGGAATTGGATGGACTTCCACTTGCGGAGAAGGCTAGTTCTCCTCAACTTCAACACCCTCTGCCTTTGCTTCCTCTTCCTCCACTACTATGAACTTGAAGTCGAAGTTTGGAGGAAAAATAGTGCGTCCTTCTTCATCATGATCCCACCTCAGTTTAATCTGAGGTCGAAAGTCTATTGACACGCTTTCACTGTTCTCCTCCACCCCTTCCTCTTGTTCGTTGAAGGTGATCTTTGTTATATCCACTTCGGGATACTCAACTTTCACCTTCTTTCTACAATCGGTGAAGGTGAGGATCGCAGTGGGCAGCCAGTAAAGGTTGAGAATGTTGTCAAACGAGCTGGAGTTGATGAAGTTGTTGATATGCTCCTCCATCCCATTGTGTACCAGCAGTTGAATGTTCTTCTTAAGCTCAACCTCAAATTCTCTCATCCTTTTTATTTCTTCTTCTTGTACTTCATTATCTTCTTCGCACATTTTTCTCTTCCTCTCTTCGAATGAGAGAATCGTCTTCAGTGAGTCTCTCTCCTCTTGCAAACTCGTCACTGTTGGTACCACTACCTCCAGCTCCCTCTTCATTTCCCCATTCTTCCTCAACAGCTCATCTCTTTCCTTCTATAGGCTATTATGCTCCCTCACGATTTCCATGAACTCTTAGGCTAGCGCATTCACCTAAGTTGCAATCTGCCACATCAACAATAACTAATTAAAAAAAAAAAAAAAAAAAAAAAAAACAAACAACAACAAAAAACAAACACCACTAACGACAATTAGCATCACTAAGCTTACCTTAAGAGCATGCCTCACAACTAAGGTCCCTCCATGCATCAACGCCTCTTCTCTTGCTTGGCGGCGATCCACCTCAGGAACATATGCGTTGATAAAATTCTTCATCGTCGAAAAATTTTTACTCCCAAAAATGCTGCTCTGGAGCGAAGGAATGGGAACAACTACCTTGCCCTTGTCGTGGGAGGGAACCTCTGTCCCTCTGCAATGTGGATCAAGCTCAACAGGCGTCGGCTGAAGTACGAACTCCACCACCTCACCCCCCTAACCTCTTCCTCCACCCTCCTCTTCTTCTTTTAAGCTTGATTCACTTCATCCTTTTTCCTTTTAGACCTTAACTCCTCCACCTCTGCAACTCAGACTTCTGTACTTGACATCTATCCCTTCTCCATGTTCCCATCTCCCTTCTCACTCGCAGCATTTTTAGAAGTCTTGGACTTCTTCCTTGGCTTTTTGGGAACAGCCACCCCACCAATAACACTTAGAAATTTGTCCATTTTAGTTGCAAAACAACAATTATGTTAAAATCCACAAATCAAAACTAAACTCTTACACACATGACACAAGGTACAAACACACCTTCGCTCATTGAGCTCGATCCATAGAGCTCAGTTGCTCTTATAACATCCGAACTAGTGAGAAACATAATGTCTACTATATCACCCTCCTTTCTCACCAGCTTCTCCACTTCTTCTTCCTCATCACTATTTAAACTACACTTATTCTGGTTGGCCTTTTTAGCCTTCCAAGTAGAAAAAAGTTCTACTTCTCCATCCCCCCTCTCACACTCAGTATCATCCACAAAGAAAAATTTTTCCTTCCATCCTTTAATGGATGAAGGTCATGCACTAAACAGATTTCTCTTTTCTTTGTTGGACAACTGATGTGTAAAATAGTACCACTCCTTCTCCTTCCTACTCCTAGCCTTAAGCACAAAAAAGTGCTTAAACATACTCACCGTAGGTACCCTAACCCCCCTAGCTCGGCAATACACTATAAATCTGATTATTATCCTCACTGCGTTGGGAGACAATTGGGTCAAACCCACACTATACTCTAATAACAACCATACCAGCAAATCTGATAATGGAAACCTAAGCCCTGCAGCCAAATAATGGGCATACACCGACATCTAATGATCTTGGGGTGCCGAGCATGCCCTTTCCTCCACCCTAGCAGGCCTAACCAAAACTCGAGAAGAAATCTCGTAAGTCTCTACGAGATGAATCAAGCTATCCCTACTTCTGAGTTCAGACTCATACTCCTTTACCTCAAACACAATGTCTACCCCACTATCATAAAACTTACTATTCCTATCTCCCACTTCCAAAATATTTGCAGGAACCCCTTCTCCCTCAACCTCAACCACCTCATTTCGCACTACCCCTCCCTTTGTTCGCTTAGACTCAGATGACCCACCCTCCACACTTATGTCACTGTACTCTAACATTCTCACTTCCTCGCTCCCTCCAATGCTTAATGTTTCCTAAGAAGACATCTCATTAGTCTCGTAACTTTCACTGCACAAAGTAGGGGGGAGGGATGTAATCAGGATCTTCAAAAAACTCTAACTCACGCTCAATATCACTCTCACTCCTAACCCTAACCTCCTTAAGAGGGCTTAAACCTAAATCTGAAAGGGTGAGAGGAGAATAAAATTCACCGCTAGAACTTGAATCACAAAAGTTCATAAGTTACCTGATTTCGATAGTGTAGAATGAGTCTTGAAGTAAAAAATGTAACACACCAATCGCTCGCACAAACACTGTAAAGATTTTGGCAGCACTTCAGTAGCAAATACGGAGAAAGTAAAACTCTTTTTACAGAAGTATAGCTATTTATACCAAAGAAAATATACACCTCAACGGCTATGATTAATTTCATCTGACGGTCACAATTACACCGTTTCAAATTCGACAGTTAATCCCTAATGGAAATCTCTTGAATTCAACAGTTCATTTTCCATTCCGTCTGTTTAATCATAGCAGTTATTTTTTTACAACTCGTATTTATTGTACACGTCTTTCAACAGACAATTGTCACGCCACGTACTAACACTACGTCGGACTTTTTTAACGGACCCAATTAAGCCCAACCCAGTACTTTTGTTCACTTTCACAATAACATTTTTCAACTTTACAAGTGTTTTACTTCGGCTCTGGCCACAATAACTCCAGTCATCACTTTTTACTACGGCTCCGGCCACAATGACTCTGGTCATCACTTTTTACTACGGCTCCGGCCACAATGACTCCGGTCATCACTTTTTACTACGGCTCCGGCCACAATGACTCCGGTCATCACTTTTTACTTCGACTCCGATCATCACTTTTTACTTCGACTCCGGCCACAATGACTCCGGTCATCACTTTTTGCTACAACTCCTGCCACAATGACTTCAGTCATCACTTTTTACTACAACTCCGGCCACAATGACCTCGGTCATCACTTTTTGCTATTGCCCCGACCACAATGACTTTGATCATTACTTGTTACTATGACCACGATCACAATGACTTCAGTCATTACTCTAGCTATTGTGATCTCGCGTCACATTTCATTTCGGATATGGCCACTATGACCCCGTGTCACATATTCTACTATCAATTACAGCCATACATGAATTTGAGTTACCAATTTTTATTATAACTCTAGTAACTCATTTATAATATTTTTTCATTCCTCTTTCACCAAACTATACACTACTCTCATCACCTTTAACAACATCATTCACGAGTGAATGACTTCGAGGGGGGAATAGTGTAAGGATAGGTCCGAGGTCCTTAACCTCGGACGTACTGCTACAGTTCCTTTATAACCGAAGTGAAGTTAAATCGAGCACTTCCTAGTTAAATGGCTACATGATAGATACAGTGAACATGTCCACACCTAATTTACATAATTTCTCGGTCCCGAAATAATCGCTTGAAGGGACACGTCACTCTCCGATTATCTTGTTAAGCAAGCCACGTGGACACCTTGCTAAGGCCTATAAATACCCCTTAGGGGCCACCTCATAAAGGTCATTGAAACCAACCTAAAGCTCCTTTTTCCATTATTCTAGAGATAAATTCGATTATTGTTGACTTAAGCATTGGAGTGTCTACCTTGATGACCCACCTCAGGGCTTTGCAGGTACATCCGGAGTGAAGACGTAGACTGAAGAAGGATTTCTGGTTTGGTGCAATTACACTTCCCTTGTAAAGAACACGTGTGGCCATTTGTTTTGGATGAGAAATTAGTAAATAAATAAATAACTAGTATTGTGGAGCTTTCTTTCTAATTTTAGGTTTGGTGGATTTTTCACTCATTTTCCAACTACTATTTTTTAATGGCTGTCCTCTCATTGGTCAACTCTTAATGTACATATCTAAAATAGTTCTTTTCCTATTCTCGACTTAGCTTGCAGTGAATGCAGCTTGATAAGAATGGATGGTGAGCTAGTGGCTTCTTTTTTTTTTTTTGGTATACCGAATGATGAGTTAAATGAAGAAAATAGTGCTCTGTTCCCCAAACCCCTTGCCACAGAACTTAAGATTTAGTGGCTTACTTTAGTTGGTGGTATTACTAGGTTTTAACTTTGTGAGAAACATTGTGGGATAATTGTCATATTGAATAATTGTTAAGAGAAATTAGGAAATAAATAACTAATAGTCCATACTCAATTTTTGAAATGAGACAACATTTTTTGTTTTGATTTTGAAAAATGATTGGTACATTTTTTATTTAACATATTCATAAACACCTATCAATTAATTTATTAAAATCTACAAACTTAAATTTTTTTACCTTTAACTTTAAATTAAAAAATAATAATTTTTTAATTCAATATGTTGAACAAAATGATATATGTATATCAATGTACTTTAACTTTAGCTGTATCATAAAGCTATACCATTAGTAGTTTTGCTCTTAAAATTGGATTCAAGAGCAAACAAAATACTTTCACATAGGACTATAGGAGAGGTGGAAAGAAAATGGTTTCTATATTTTTATGTGGTGTAGATGTGAAATATAAACCACTCATATATTTTGGCAAAGGATAGTGATTGGAACATATTTTAGTTCAATATATTATATAACATACTCAATAAAAAATATTATATAACATACTCAATAAAAAATTATTATTTTTTAATATAAAATTAAAGGTAAATAAACTTAAATATGTAACTATGTACACAAAATGTAAAAACTGATTCAATTTGTTATAGTTATATTATATTTTTAATGACTGAACTAGACAAATATCAAAAAATGTATTGAACTGAATATATACTAATTATTTTTTCTTCGACAAAACAAACATTGTTTTGAAAGTTATTCAACTTACCAAAGATACTATGGCCATTCCTCTTTTACTAATAAATTATGGTTATACTCCTCTACAACCATTTGTTCTATCTCTCTCTTATTTTTTCTTTCAAGATTAGCGAAAAATGGACGTACACTCTGCAAAGCAGGTTGGATTTTGCTAGTCTATATAATAAGAACCATGATTTGATGATTTAAAAAAAAAAAAATTAAGGCTTTGTTTATTAATATTTTGCTATGATATGGTTATGGCTGTAATTGTGGTTTTCTTACTATTTTAAAATATATAAAATATTAATTAAAATTAGTAAACTATATAAAAATTTAATTAAAATTAATTATGAATTATAATTATACTTATAGATAAGGTTTTATGTGAATACTGTCAAACTAAAACTAAACAAAAAGCAAATTAACAAAATAAAATACCATGTTTAATAATCCAATGGCATGTTGCCTTCTCAATTTTTAAGTTTGTGAAAGATAGTGACACAACTAGGGATTTTTCTTTTTTACTTTTTTTTTTTTTTCCATTGCTTAGCAAAGGTTCAAATGCATATGTAAACCACTAAATGAAAGTTTACATCTAGATATATCTTCTTGTATGCACAATATTTTACCTTGTGAAAAGTCATATAACAAATTACTAGTAGAAGATTGTTGGTGTAATCATATTACAAATTACTAGTGAAGGTGGAGCTGTGGAGGAATTGTTGGTTTAATCATAAGGACAACTTAACTTGGTGAAGCACTTATGAGTTGAGAGACAAAAAAAAGAGTAAAATTAAGTTGAAGGACAAAATTAGTATAAAAACACTAAAATTGATGGGGGACTAGAAAAGGCATTTAAGAAAATCTTACAAACATCCACATTGCTTGCCATCCGAATAGGGAAAAAAAAAATAGAGAGAGATTTTCCTTATATTTCAACCACGATCTAATTTTTGTTTTATTTTTTCAGTACATTGCTTGCCATGTAAATTAGATAAGAAAAAAAAAAAAAAAGAAAGATTTCCTGGATTTCAACCAGGATCTGATTATTTGTATTGTGATTTCAAGGTTATTACTTTGTATATATGGAAGATCCTCCGCTTTCTTCCTTGATAAAGACCCACAAAAACAAAGAAAGGGCTTTTCATGGCCTACGACTACAAGTTGTACGTACATCTACTTTGATCCAACAGTCCCACTTTTGTCTCAAGTCTGAAATTATTCTGACTAACATGGAGGAGAATATGATCCGGTCCTTCGTCCCGGATGCACTAGACTACAAGGGTGATCTTGCTGACAGAACAAAAACTGGTGGTTGGGTATCTGCATCTCTCATTGTAGGTCAGATTCATTATATATAAAATATATATATATATTTAAGAAATAGTGTAAATCCACCTAATTTCTTAAAAATTAATAATTAGGGTCGGTCTAATTTTGATTTAATAGAAAATAATAATAATGAATATACATATATATATATATTTAAGAAATATTAAATAATTAGAT